ATATATATATATATATATATAGATGAGCTTGCAGAGATTTTCAGATTATGTATTACTAATAATCGGGCTAACACATCTTAGTATAATAAAGAAAAACGACTAAGAAAAGAAATATACATATCTTATAGATATATAAGATAGGAGAACGGTGGTTTGAGACATAGCCTAACGATAATTCCACATCTAACGAGTTCAAATCCTCCTATCTCTAAGTTCAAAAAAAAAAACAAAAACAAAAAAACAAAACAAGAAGAAAGAGTTTGCATGAATTTTGTACTCCCATCTTTAATCTAATGGTCAACATTAACCAATTCTATTTTTACTTTAAATTATTGTCAAGATTTCTTCACTTGGCATATTAATTTTCTTACACCTAACAATTCAATATATATAGAAGTAAGAATTGAAGAGGAATAAAATTATTACTTCTATTTTTTCCCTACTATCATACATCATCAACCATAAATTAATACCATACCATCGTCACACACATATATACATAATATACTACTATGACATCTATGTGAAAAATACCACTCAGATAATAGTACTTGTATGTCATCTGCATATGACCTTGTTTATTTTTATTTTTTTTTTCAAAATATGATTTTAAGATATTTTTTAAATTACTATATTGAATTTATTATTCTCAAATATGTTCAAGGTTTTTTTAACTATATTTACTATTTATGTCTTTTAATCAAATCGTGAAATCTCTTTTACTTCAACCTTTGGAGGTTTGCAAAATGCTTACTTGCTTTCTAGGTCCTTTTTGGCTTTCTTTTCTAATTTCTTGGGTATTTTTAAATATTTCTCATTATTTTTTTATGTGCAACTCTCTAAGCATTATTTTTCTAAAATATGGCTCTAATTGTTTTTTCATTCTTTTAACTAAATTTCTGACAATTAAAATTAAGCTGAAATAGAGAAAATAAGCATTTAACAAAATCTATTAAAAACTATTATACTTAATTTAATAAAACTTTCCGTATTTTTTAAAAAAATAAAGTACAAAGTGTTATAGCCACTATACATACTAGTATACATATATATATATATATATATAGACACACACAAATGCATATATGCATTCATACAAACATATATATTTAGATAAAAATACAATGTCAAGTTTGTTACTGCTAAAATTTGACAATTTTAAAATGCTACAATTAATATCAAATTTTAGAATACCGTGCTAAATTAACATATCAATATTAAAATTTATCATTTTAACAAAAAAAAAAAAAATGCTCTAATGCAATGTGATTTTTATGCTAAATTTAGTGTGTAGAAGAAATTATATTATGTTTGGTGTTGAATTTAGCACCAAATAAATCATATACCACAATTTGACATCTAAAAATTGACTTGTTGAGTTTTCAATAGTTACATGAAATGAGAATATGGTACTATTATGAAATGAGAACTTGTAATTATTCATGAAATTTCTAATGTACGTTTGGTTTGATGGAATAACATTCAAATCCAATGAGATAATTATTCCTTTTTTAAGGTGAAATAAAATTTATTAATCATAGTTAGTCATATTGACATTTATAAAAGTATCAATATAATTATGATATTCTTCTACCTAAAAACAATCTTCATTAATTACAAAGGGAGATTCTTTGGTACGCTTAGTGTACCGGTTGGTCAAGCTTTTTTAACAGTTAGATCTACATACTTTTTGTCTTTTACGTGATTTTATGCAGATCCGACTGACAGAAAACTTGACCTACAGGTATGTTGAGTACCGGAGAAGGTCTCTAATTAGAAAAAGAAAGTTTTGTTAGTGTGTGGGCAGTCCTATTACTAATGTGGGAAATGTGACTACAAGAACCACTGCAAGCTTCATTCATCAAGATCTTTGGTGGAATATTTTTGAAGGTCTTGTTTGACACGCCTTCCAATATCTAAGTGTTTATTTTTAGGGGCTGTTTCCGGTAGGTCGTCCTATCGGTAGGATCAGTTTTCTGACCGTTAGGTCTGGTCAAAATCAAATGAGATTGAAAAAATATGCAGACCAGATAGTTTATGATACAAATCTGACAGCTAAAAATGGCTAAAAAATAGAACTACCGATAGTTCCATTTTTCTGATCCTACGAGAGAAACTCCATTATTTTTAAATTACATAGGATTTCTTAAAATAGTTATTATATTATTTCAGGAGTTTCTCCTGTAGGACTACGAAAATGGAACTACCTTTAGTTCTATATTTTTCTGTTGTCAGATATGTTAATAATGGAAAGTTGAAAAACATAAAAGGATAAATTTGTAGTCCCACATAGATTGGGAACTAAAGTTTAGGTT